CGAAACATTAAGTACAACCCTGAGAACAGAATGCCAAGCCACGATCTGGCCACGTGAATAAGTTGAAGTTACATCCTTCTAACAGGAAAAGTAACTTTCGTTATCATGGAATTATAACAAAACCTGCCAATTCAATATAAATAGAAAAAAAATATTATATGGAATTGAACGAAAATGAAAATTTACTTGATAATTCAACTACGCTTGTTGGAGAACAATAAAAACACTACTCTCAACAAGCCACCAATGAAACTTAACTGCCTAACCTATAATCAAAGTTTTTTTTAATTTGTTTTTTAAAAAAAGCGCTTGACAAACTTGCCCCGCATGCCGAAGTTGCCCCGATCTCCCCTATCTTAATCTTCACTATCGTTACTTTTTAAAAACCCAGCGAAGCGGGTCCTTGCAGCTAGTTCAGAATAAATTCTGGAATTTTCGAAAATGGTAGAAGAATTAATAACATTTAGTTAATAATTACGTTAAAAGTATACAATCTCTACATTAAATTTGCAGTATTTACTAAATGTATTAATCAGGATTAATAGCTACCAAATGTACTATTTTATAGTAATTTAAAACAAATATGCAAATTTTTAGTAGTGAAAGGGTCGCGATACAGTAATACCTCGATTTTCGTTGACTTTGGTTTTCGTCGATTTTTTTTGCAAAAAATTTGCCTCGGATTTCGTCGGCTTGACACATGATCTCGTTGATAATTTTGCGAAAACAAAGAGCGACCCACGCGTTTTTCTGATCACAGGTCATAGTGGCGTTGTTTCTTACTGTATGGGCATTACTCCGCGCGTCTAGCAAAACAATTCCATTGCTTCCCTTCCTTTTAGTTCCATCAATTTAGATAATTGATGATGAATAATCGAATGTAATTTTATAATCCCGTTTCTAGTTGTCCAAAACGATTTCATTGAAGAATCATTACAGAATAATTGTATAGTATTTAAAATTTCTTTAGCTAAAAATTTTAATTGTCTATGAAATCCAACATATAAGTTGGCATATAGATGTACACTTTGGTGGAATAATTAATATTTCGCATGAATTTTGATTTGTAGATGTTTGAAATACTGTATTATAAATATTAATATTTGTTTGTCCTCTCCACGAGTCAATTATTAATAAAGAGTTTTCTGTTATATTTGGAGATAATACATCTTTTACATCATTTGTAATAACTGTAGATAATTTGCCAGATGAGCTAGCTGTAACAGTTACGTTTGGAGCATTGAACAACGATGTTTGAACTCTAGGTCCAAAGGTTCCGTGAGCCTCTTGTAAGCAAATAAATACATTACCTACAACTTGTCCGTTAGCATTAATTAAATATTGAACGGTGTACGAATGCGTAACTTTATTACTTGCGAATGGGCAAATCCAATAGTACTTTTTTCTCCTTCATATGAAAGTGTTCTCGTACGAAAAACCACACTGATCCGTATTGAATATGAAATTTCGCGAATAAGATGGCAATAAATTTTTTACTGTTGTTTGAAATCGCGCAACTTTTACTAAAATATCCTTTTCGTTCGCTATTTCTGTTTTGTTTACAAGTTTTGTAATCTTTCGAGATACTAATCTATACTCTTTTTTAAATTTTGCAACCCAGGAATCACTAGCTGTAAATTTAATTAAACTATTCAGTTGAAGAAATTTCTGTAATACCCATATTTTTAATTGATTAGCTTTAACAATTTTATAGCTGCCTCGAGCTTCGTGAAACATTTGTTTAGTATGTTCTTTAATGATTTTTAAAGTTTCAATTCTATGCTTTCGAGATTTAAATTGTTTTTCCGATTTATATAAATTACTAAAACATTTTAATTCTTTAGCTCCTTTCCGCAGTAATGTGTGTAATTTCCATTTTGGGTGTTTCTTATGTAAGTTAAGAATTTCTTCTTTTCGTTTTCTTTAGGTTATATTTTTATCGCATTTTTCATCATCTGAATATCCTGATTCACAGTCAGTGTCTGCGTTATCAATTTCTTTTTCTTGAAGCAGACATGTTATTTTATTATCTGAAATAGGCCTATCCGTAACCAAATTATTACTTTCCATCTAACTCTTCGTCATCTCTACTTACATAACTACTTAAAATATCACTAAATGCATTAAAAAGCAGTTTGGCTACCTGTTTATCAAAGTGTGACATATTAGGCCTACAAATCTTTTCTGTAGGCCAGGGGTGTCCAACCCGCGGCCCGCGGGCCGCATGCGGCCCAAGGCAAGTTCAAATGCGGCCCAATAAACGTGTGAACAAAACCGACAAATNCAAATCAGCAAATTCGTAAAATTTTTTGTTTATTTTGAACAATCCGGATAATCGAAAATCCGGATAATGGAGGTCCGGATAATGGAGGTTCTACTGTAATTTATATATAATACTGTACGGACGATAGTTAAACTCAACTTACCCGCCTAAACTGTCCGTAGCGTAGCGCTAGACAACGGAAAATAGTTAGGCTACTCGTCCGCGATGACAAGTTGGCGATAACGTTTTACCGCGTTTTACGCGTCTTTTTTAGCGTCTTTGTACGAATACTGACACAATTTTTTCGCCGCGTCATAGGAATCTACGTTATTGGAACCCGCGTTATAGGGAGTCTACTGTATTCATGTCTAAATTGAATATGTTAAATAAACAAAGACTTTAACACGTAATTATACACTCCTACATTCAGTTATTCGATCATTTTCACTTGTTTTTAGTCACTTCGTTTGATGTAAACAATAAACAAAAGAGTTTATAAAGACTAGCTTACCCAGCACACATTGCTGCGATCTCAGAAGAAAGGAAATTCAAGCAAACTCGTTATGATAAAATTCAGTTTACATTTTATCATTTTTATTGAAACTTATTATTATTATTCATTTTCATCGAGAAAACATTTCAATTCTAATTTCTATTATAAATAAATTCTATTTATTTATTGGAGTGTTTGTGGATACACGATATTTTTTCATTTTCCGTCTGGTGCGTACACAAATAAATCATTAGGTTTTCGACATTAGGTTCTAAATTTAGCCCATACACTTGCAGCGATTGTCAGAAGTGCGATATTCCCCATTTTTATATATATATATATTTTTAATCCTTTATAATTTTAATTATTTAATTGCTCCTTCCTCTCTTCCTTGGCACGTTGTAAAATTTCTGATAGTTAAATAATAAACCGTTTTATTGTAATTTGTCTTTGTAAATTATTTTGAGTCGATATTAACATTTGGAGAAGGGGAATACCTAGATCGATAAAATACGCGAATTTTTCCTACAAGTTCGGTTGTTCTTCGGGGTACAGTTAAAGTTTTAACGAAGTTCGAGCGAATACGTAATTAGCAAAAAATAGTTGAAATAAAGTGATTAAACAAAAATTATTAAAAATATCGTAAATAACAGTTCACAAATGCATATATAGAGATATTTTTTGAAGGGGAGAAATGGTCTTCACAATTTGAAATCGATGGAACACACACTGCTGGAATGCTCGTGTAAAAGCGCGCCATCTATCGTAGGATAAATGCCAGAAACCTACGCGGGAGTGTATTAAAAACTTCTTAAAGCTTCATGGCAATCGTACTACGCCAGAAACCTTCACAGGAGTATATTAAACAACTTCTCAAAGTTTCACGGCAATCGGATAAACGGTGTGGTAATGCATGAAGAACACACACACACACCTACATTCATTTTTATATATATAGATTAAGCACACGAGTTACATAATACAAATGCATGTCCAACAATATTTCTTCTTACGTGACAAAAATAACATCCACCGTTTTGTCCGATAAGTTCACAGAATGTATATTTTCTTTTCATGAATTAAAATAAAATCCAAATAAAATCAATAACAGATAAAATTATAAAAACCAGAGATAAAATTATATAATTTTTATAATTTATTTTATTATAAATAAAAAAAATGTAACCGTTTACTTTATTTTATAAATTTTTTAATCAATCTTAAAATCATAAAGCGTATAATTTTAATTTATAATATAAAACAATAATTACCTTCCCTGATCCAACAGGACCTATAACAATTAATAATTCTCTCGGTTGCATGTTTAGTGATATCCCACTTAATGTTGGTTCGAATTCCTTGATTCAAAAAACAACAGTTATTACAATATACACAACTAACATTACAAGTTATAAATCAGAAATGTTAATAATAAACAATAAATTAATTTATGGTAATGTCTGAGGCAAGCCAGAATATCACAGTGAACACACTTTCTGTCTATACAAGAAATGCGAAGTGCTCAGAACTTCAAGACAAAAAAATTCGCGGAAGTCTCTACAAAGACAGAAAGCTAAATAAATAATAACTTCCAAAAAACCCAAGGACAATGATCATTGGGTACATTCAAAATGCCATAAAAGTCTTATAGAAAGCATCTATCCGAAAATTGAGATGACTTCCAAGAAGCAATGTCTCACTTTCATGCCTCTACAATGAAAGGCCAGGAACTTCTTCACCTGAATTGGGATATACTAGAAAAGATACTCGTAGAAAACTGTGAAAGAACATTGAATGTGGCAACAGTAACTCAAAAAGAGTCAGTTGTTGAGCAGGCATTAAGTTCTAACAGACACAATTGATTACAAATATAGTAGTTATTCTTTGAGACAGGTTCTTGGTCGTTTGAAATAGATTTTAATAGTATCCTGTCGAATACAGATTTTTTTTTTACATTAAAGATTTGCCGTTCGTAAGCCACCCACGTTTTAAAATATTGTGAATTTTGAATGCTCATAATGCAACAGTATCTAAATTTTAGTAATAAACAAACTGATTAATGCTAACTAAAACATAATTATTTTATGTTTACCTGCAGTGACACAACAAAGGTATGGTTCATTAAATTTATTTTCATTTTATTTAATTTAACACACCTGTGTGTTTTATGAAAGTTTCATGTAGAATTTAAAAAATGATGAAATGTCTGTAGAATTCCAAATGCAAAACGCGAAAAGAGCATTCTGGAATTATTTTCGATGGAAAAAGCTTTTCCAATTTACAGAACAAACTTCTGATGAAAACCCGAAAAAACTCCTCGCGTTCAACGTATCAGTCGAGTGTGCAATAGCATATATTATAGCAACTACCCTATAGCAACTACCGTTGTTCTATTTATAGTGTTACCCACTTATCCACTCGTAAGCCAAATATCCCTTGTTTCAGATCAAATCTTAACAAATATTGCTAATTATTTCATCAATTTAACAAATATAATTTTAAAAAAGCCAATGAGTTCACAACATTCTACGTGAAAATCCTGTTAATTGATATTATGCTTCTGTCCTCTTTGCACATCCATGTGTACTGAGGGAGTCTTAATTCACCAGAATTTCCAAAGTAGACACAAGCATAATATAACTAATTAAGGACAAAAAGCGTATATTAACCTTGTAATTAATGATTCTTGTTGCTATTATTATTAATTAATTAATTTTAAAATTATCGAGTTAAACAAATCGTTAAAAAACATTATTTTTATTGCAGAACTTATATTAGATTTGAAGCCATGTCTTACGTTTTTCCACGCAGCTGTGACACTATCCATTCGTATTTCGTATTCGGTTGAATTTTCTCTTTCTCTTGCAGTTTTGACTGCATCGTTCTCTCTTTCTTGAAGGAGAAGAAAATCCTAAATAAAATTTTACAAAATGTTAGAGTTTTAAAAAAAAGTTCGTGCCAGTAATACAAACCAGATCAATACAAACTAGGCAATTAATTCTGTTTTCGACTCCTCCAAAATCGACTATGGGCGATTGAAAAACTCTAGAAATATTTTAATTATCCGATTTATCGATAAACACTTAATCTATTGATTAAGTGTGACATTAAGTATTTTAATGAATTTTTATATTTTTTAAAGATAAAACCTGTTGCCTGATGTTGATAAAACTTGTGCTGAATAATTGTATATTACGAGTTGTCGGACATTAGACAAATGAGTTATTATAACAGCGAAGAAACCAAAGAACCAAACAGATCTTTCACTCTTGAAACTGCTGAAGAATAGTGATAATGTCAACCTATCTTCCTGGGGAATATTAGGGTAAAAAGTTATTCTCTTGTGTCCATCATCATGTGACATTCGTTATTCTTAAATAATTCAAACTTGTTCACAGAATACAAATTTGCATGATACACGGTAACGTTGGTAGATAAAACCGGTTTCATAAACAAGATTTCATATCAGGATTTCTTCATAACTTTTACAGTTTTGCGTTGAAAAGATTTGTTGCGTTGTTAAATTTGACAACGAATTCGAAATCTTTGATCGAAAGTTGAGGAATACACAATATTCCGTGTTAAATTTAACACAAAATATTGTCTATTTAGCAACTTTTCTCCTCTGGGCAGGTTTTCAATTTATTCAGATTTTGTTATGGACAAGTTTTAATATTTAATATCTTTATATACAACACTATTAATAATTGTATGTAAATATCTTCGACTTATTTCTGAATTAGTATTGCTATAATAAAATATGAAAAAAATAATTTCAAAATTGTTCCTTACCTGTATCCTTTTTAACGAAACCAAAATTTCTGCAACAAAACTCACTGCTTGAGAAAAAAAAGCAACAATCTGGCAAGCGATATACATTGAGAAAGTCATTGTAACGAATATAATTTCGGTATTTAGTTGTCCTCCATTTAAAAAAAATGCGAGATATGCGAGGAGAATGAATAATTTCGACATAGGATACGCCAATATATACGATATTCCGCTTGCATATAGAAACTTTCGAATTTTTTTCATTTCATTCCTGCAAATAGAAACAATTAAAAATACTAAGTGTAGAACTTAAAAAGTAATTATTTAAAGCTCAACAGATTATCTTGTCTAAATTACAATGAAACATGTGTAAACCGGAATCAGATTGTATCAAATATTTTCTTCAGTTTGAGATGTTTATGCTCAGAACAGGGATTATTTTTTAAAACAAAAACACGATTATGTTAAAGTGTTTTCTCATTAGGCAATTATTCGTTTCATTTTTGTTCCGTTTTATTCAGATTTTAATATTTTTCATTGCACTTACACTCTGATTTTTTCTATTAGTGCGGCGTATGGCAATTCCCAGGTGTACATCTTGATTAACCTCATATCAGCAATCATTTCGTTCAACAGATTCAATCTTTCGTCTCCCAATACAGCTGCTTGTAATCTATTAATAAATTATATTTATATATATAAATATATACTCTTATTAAATGATATAAAATTAAATACTGGACTGATAATTTATATCTAAACACAANTAAGTAAAAATTGAAAGTGTCTGTAGAAGTAATTTTTTAAAATATCCTTTTTTCTTGATAAAGTTTTAATACAGTACTTATTATTATAATCTAGACGTGTTAATTTTTAAATATACTTGTATATTGGGCCACGAGTATATATTATATATACTTGTGGCCCAAAACTCCTTGACTTCTTCCAAATGCGGCCCAGAAAAACAAAAAGGTTGGACACCCCTGCTGTAGGCCAAACGTTATCGCATAAACGTTTAAATTCTGTTATAATGTTTTAAATATTTACGTTTCATTCTCCTATTTTCCAAAATTCCAGAATTTATTCTGAATGTAATATCGCCGTCTTCCTCCGCGACCCTTTCACTTTTAAAAATCTGCATACTCGTGTTAAACTACTATAAAATAGTACGACATTTGATTACTAATAACTCTGATAAACTCGTTTAGTGAATACTACAAATTTAATATAGAGTTTGTATACATTTAACGTAACTATTAACTGCATTATATTAAAACTTATTAGAAGACACTCCGACAGTTTCCTTGTTAGTGGAATCCCACGCGAGCTCACTACATATCCTCACTCATAGGCCGACTGCCGACTGACGCTGCAGGCGGAAAAAAATTCAGTGCTATGAACGACTGTCTCCTCCACAACTCCACCGAAAGAGGCCTCCCGCCCATCATTGGTTTACGCGGAAAAAATAAAAGTCCGATACTTTTTGAACAGACCTCGTATATACTAGCTGCAAGGACCCGCTTCGCTGGGTTTTTTTTGTTCGTACATTTGTATGTAATATAGTTTTTTTTATATATAAAAGACTGTTTCTGTAAGTAATCTAGAATCTAGCTGAGGATTCGCTTCGCTAGGTTTTTATTCGTGGGCAAAATGTAACGATAGTGAAGATTAAGATAATTACATTATAGCCAATCTTACCCGTTTTTACAGAATGCGAGAATTAGGTCCCCCGTTTCCAGACTAATTAGAGAGTTTTTACTTCCAGTCAAACGAACTATTTTCAATTTGATCAATTTTCTGGAACGTTTACAATCGTTCTATAATGGAACAAATTCGAATTTAAATTAATTAAATTCGAATTCGAATATTTTTAAAATCGAAATAGAAAATCTTCCACTTTCAACCACTTTCAAGCCCATATCTCCCGCACCCTTATAGCTATCGATACGCAACCACCATAGTGCACGAATGGAGACTTGGGGCTACTACCACATACAAACACTATCCATGTGCGATGTGTAGTTTTGGCTGAAAAGTGAAATATAGGGACACACACGTCCATTTTTATATATATACTAGCTGCAAGGACCCGCTTCGTTCGGTTTTTATTTGTTCGTACATTTGTATGTAATGTAGTTTTTGTTTTTTATATACAAAAGACTGTTTCTCTAAGTAATCTAGAATCTAGCTGCAAAAACCTGCTTCGCTGGGTTTTTATTTGTGGGATAAAAGTAACGATGTTTAGATTAAGATAATTACATTATATCCAATCTTACCCGTTTTCACAAAATGCAAGAATTAGGTCCCCCGTTTCCAGACTAATTAGAGACCTGGTCCCGATTCTATTTCTGAACGTCTCCTGTTCACGTCCAGTCAAACGAACTGTCAATATTTTCAACGTTACTGGAACGTTTACAAT